AAATATATATTTTACACATTCATGCTCTCCTTGCTCGGTGGAGGGGCAGAATATTGAAGGGGGAAATTGCCGCGGATCAGGGAAATTCTAAATCAAAAAGAGCGACACTGGGCCAGTCAGCAAAATGCAATGGGCTTTTCGCACTGTATGTAATGAAGCTTTTCTTTTGTAGTTACTTTACAATGAACACGTATGGTTTCGCAGACATCTGATGCTTTACAACTTTCCCAAACTCCATGAAAATCCAAGATATGTGGTGATTCATATCTTGCAGACTATGGCCCTTCATATCTCAAAACTGCACAATTACCCTACTCCCTTTTATACAACCTCTTCCCCCAAACGCTAAAGCAAATATTTCCATCAAGAGTATGTGATTTGGATGGGTGGAAAATTATATTCATGGATCTGAATATAATATTCTGAAAATGGCAGCACTATTAGAAAAAAAAAAGTAGGCTTGTCATTTGGTTATAAGGGCTGAATCAACAAAAAAGTTGTGGTCTTATTTTGAAAGGGGGAAAAAAAGCAATGAAATAATAATTTTTTAAAAATGCATGTTCACTCTTAAGTCCTTGACTGTATTGAACTATCAACATTACTATCATGTTAAAAATAGATATAAATCTATTGAGCATGCAATTACTATTTTTTAAAAATATTATATATTAAACTAGAAAACTCAATAGCAGCATCAGCTAAGGTGTTGGGGCCCTGGTCTCGCCTGACCATGCCTGGATGTGTCACGTGATTCAGCAGAGAGCAGCGGGGCACATCTAGCACTGGCAGGGCAAGGAACAGAGCTGAGAAGCATGCAGGCCAGTCAATACTCATTTAGAAAGTGATTGTACATGTACAACTTGCTTGGGTAAGCTGGGTGAAAGTGGTGGCGCGAGTCTCTGGCTGGTTAAAACCACCAGAGCTGCATCCTTGGTGGCTCCGGCTTGATTTTACTCCTGTGAGAAGTAAGAACGGCAAGCAGTGAAGGTCATAGTTCGATCTTGCTAGATTTTGCTTTGGAACTCAACTTCAAATATGATTTTTAAAAACATTTATTCTATATCCTTCGCTTACAAACACAGATATTAATTAAACCAACACTCTTTTAGGAATGAAATGATTACATCCAGTTAAATTTAAAATTCAAGTAACCATAGTTATGTAAACCTTAAAATGACAAAAATAAGCAAAATTCTACTTTATAGCTTGTCATATGATTTGAACAATTTGACGTTGTACAAAGATTAAAAAAATAAAATCATCACTCTGAAATCCATTCTTTGAATTCTCCTACATCTTTTCTCATGCAGAGTTTTGTATGTTTCCACATTGGTCTGATACGGTAGAGGTCGAGAATATAATAGAGAAATTCGTGTTTTCAATCTCTATAAAATCCTGAGCATTTCTCCCCTGTTGCACTATGAATTAGCTAAACTCTATTATAAAAACTGAATGGAAGGATTAGTGTAGCCATAGTTTTCAAGCACCATTTAAATCAGGGACTAATTTACTACCTATCTTAAAGCAAAAATTTGTTGCCATTTAAAAAATATCAATGAGGAATGTTTCTGGAGGGTTTACTCTGTTTGAAGGCTCCATTTATCAGCACAGAGAAGAGCAGCCTACAATAGAAATCAGCGCTTAATGTTCTTTACTGTTTGTCAAGCAGCTGAAGCCTGAACTAAGAGTTTGATAGCTGTTAAAACTAATGACATGAGCAAAGTAAGTGTATGCCTAAAACGTGACCAGTGTTTACTGCCAACAGTTCTCCGAAAGTTAAATGTCAAGTAAAAACCGTGTTTAGCTAGAAATTAAATCCACTCTATAATATTGGAACATACTGATTTTTACTTTGATTTTTAACAGCTATGTCTTCTTATCTTGTGGGTGAGTGTATATAATGATGGTTGTTTTTATGTCAGGGGGTTTGATACTTATTTTATGAAATCATTTACATAGAATTGATTATTGAAGTTGATTATTATATATATGATACTTTGATATTTCCCCCTAGATTTAGCAAATACATATATGTGTATTCATTTTTTATAAATAGGTCTACCAAAATATCTATACATTTAACAATTTCATTACATCCTATAAAAGGATTTTATGTACTCAAAATTTGATTGAATGAGGATAGAATGGTTCTAATAACATTATCTTATAAGGTCTTTTTATTCAGAAAATAAAATGTTTTCCAGTAGTTGATAAGGGAGACATTGGATTTTCATTACTTCAGATTTGTTTTCTTCAGTCCTGGATACAACAATTGGGCAGTATCTTTCTAAGCAGCCATTTGAAGTATCTGCGCACATTAAGTAGTGTTTGAAGGATTCTGGGAATCAAGCATTTGATAGAAGGAAATTAAGATGTTTACTTCCCATAGATTTGATGTGACCAAAATCTATGATACTGAGTGAATTAACTGAACAAAAGTGTTTCTATCTTTTTGGCTTTCCTAACTCTCCTTGAACCCAAGGTGTGTGTGTGTGTGTGTGTGTGTTACTCTTTATACTTCTGTTTTTGGTGAGTGCCTCTATTTTAAGGCAGTGGTTGCCTATGAAACCCATAGTTTTGAATCTGTTTTTAGATCTTCACCTCTCACCCAGGCTCTAGTTCCCTATACTGTCACGCCTAATTCAGAATATTCCACCTAAGCCCCTCCTCTTCCCATGTAAGTCTGGGAAACCATTTTCCTAGAGTCTTTACAAGATTTGCCCAGTTTCCACTTGGTCTCAGTTCCCATTAGTTTTACTCCAGCTCGGCTTTCACCACTGTACTGCTAGCAAATGATTGTTATCACGTTCCCCCAAATAGTCTCTCTTATCTCTCAGTCTAAACTGTTTTACTCGTTTATATTAAATACATTTCCCCCAAACATGACTTTCCCATTGCCTTGCTTCAGAACAGAGGATACATGTTAGCTGTAGAGGACACAACCAATTGTGTAGTAGAGGACACAACCAATTCGAATCTTTGTGGCTTACTTCTCAGACTTTACCTTCCTAAACCAGACCCCTCACCGGTACTTCATTCTTGTGAATGGCACCACTGCCTCACGGGATACTCAACTCCCTCCCAGCTGTGACTTTGATTGAGCAGGTTTCTGCTTTTCGCTTTCTGTTCATCTATATTTGACTCAAATGTGGAACTCCATTTTATCTCTTAAGAAGAAATCTATTAATCTCTTGTATTCTGAACACCTAGACCTTTTATTAATTCCTGCAGGGTTAAGCTTCTTAATAGGGCTTCAATAATTCTATGAGTTGGGATTAGCTTTTGAAAAAATGCTGCGATTTCTATAAAAGGGGGTTATGCTGTATAGGTCACTTTAACTCTTCCTAATCTTTAGTTACACATTGGGCTGCTACATCAGCCACTCCATGAAATAAGGATAAATCTTTTTTACTAAAAGTTATAGTCATGGAAACCCAGAGGGGCCATTCTAATCTGTCCTGTAGGGTGACTATAAATCAGAATTGACCCGATGGAAGTAATTGACCCCTGCATGTCCAGCAGAGCTTGAAGTTTATCAAAACTGTTCAGTAGATGCCTGGCCATTAAAGATTTTCTTCAATACATGTTTGCAGTGTTGGAAAGCAAAATTAGAATAGAATTCTTAGTCTACAGATTTAGAAAACTAAAATGACCTCATTAAGTTGCCTTGGAGTAGAAATAAGAGGGAAAATATTCCTATCTTATTTTCTACCCTCTTTGACCATTTTCAAAGTGTTCTCACACTTATGATTCTATTTCAACCGTGAGATGCCAGACAAGATCTGGAAATTATTGATTCTAGCATTGTCAGTTACTTATTTATAATAATTACAGGGTAAATGCTGATCTGCTTATTAGGAAAGCTGGGTCTAAAATATGCTTACGAAATAGCATCACTGACCTAATTTCTATGATGTCAATATTACATTCTCAAGCTAGAATGTTTTTATTGACTCCATCTGTGTGGCACTTAACATCCTAATGGTTTACAAGAAGTCCATAAAGAATGATCAGTGAACAATTCTAATCCTGTTTTCCACAATAGAGTTGTAAAGGTAATACCAGTGAGCTACTGAGACTATTATGGCATCCTGGGCATTACACTCAGAGAGTATAAATATTGTCTTTTCATATCTGTCTTCTATAACCACTATTAATATGACAGTAACAACAGCCTTTTAGCCTACCGTCTAATTGTAATCCTAAAGAAAAGTTTTTTTTCTAGCACTTCTCTGTCTTTTGGAGTTAATTTAAACGACTTGTGGATTTGCTTGTCATTTGAGGGGGCATCATCAAATAAGGGCTACTTGTACTTTAAAAATATGGATAGCACTATCATAAAGGAATACACCTTGATCGTTGTGAATAAAACATTCAGAGATGAATAGAATTGCATAAAACTTTCACTTAAAAATCTCATTAAAACCTATCCAGATTAATGCAATCCAGAGGTGATGCATTCATTTTAATCAATAAAACATGTTATCCTGATTTTCTTCAGGGCCTAATGCAATGCAGAGTAGAATCTCTTAAGTAATCAGATCCCCCCCCTTTAAAGATAATTGTATTGGGGTCTCTTACAGCTCTTATAACAATGCGTACATCAATTATATCAAGTGTATCTGTACATATGTTGCCCTCATCATTTTCTAAACATTTACTTTCTATTTGAACATTAGTATCAGCTCCTCTTTCTTCCCTCCTTCCCCAGCTCTCCCACTAGCCCCTCTTTTGTGAAAACATTTTAAAATCAGACTTTTAAATTATCAAGAACAAATATTCTAATTGTTCAGATTGATTACTTTGAGATGGGAAATTGATATTTATAAAACTCGATCCTCCAGAAAGTAATAGCTCATGGTTTGTCTAAAATTACCATATCTATTAATTTCAGGATGAATTATTTATATGATAATAGTGCATATGTACAGATAGAGACTGTTCAAGAATTGTATTGCATGGTTACTCTGGGAAACACAACGCTGTCACGTCACTCTTACCTCTTTACTTTCTTCCAGCTCTGACTCACTGCTGAACTCTTCGGTGTTCAGGTTCTCAAAGTCAGACTCTCCGACAGCAATGGGGACTGTCACAGTGAGGCTGGGGTTGTTGATGAACGACATATAGTCGTTTTCATCGATTACATATTTTTCAACGCTACTTCCAGTACCTACACCACTAGTTGTTCCATTTCCATCTTTAAGGTAATTCAGCTCTTTGCTTATTTCAATTCCAGTATTATTGGACATACAACTGTCGATTTTGTTGCCTTCGTGCATTTCTATAACTTTTGGCTTCCCAAAACAGGCTCTTTGGAAGCATTCTCGTATCTTATTTTTCACGTAATCTATGCCCCTTTGCATCCTCCCTATGGCAATCTGGAGATTGTTCATTTCATTATCATCATCCGTGGCAGCAAGGTTGTCAGAACTAAATGAACTCAACAATAAGGCCAGAAAGAGGTTCAGGACCTAAAAGTTAAAAAAAAGGAAAATGGGTAGGTGAATATGAAGTTTGAAGATGTTGACTACAGTTAATTCAGTAAGTGCTTCATAAGAGCTTACTGTATTTCAGATACATGTAAGCCACATATGATTGAAAGGACCTGATACCTTTTACTGCCTCCAGGGCAAAAGAGTAAAACAAACACCTTTGTCCCCTGTTGAGGACAGCCAGAAACCAGAGGCTCTAAAATTATTTAAACTATGTTTATTCAGTAAAGCTTGCCAATGAAAAGACAAAATTCGTTTGCATTGTTTTTGTCAATTGAGTAAAAAGTGGTATTTCCATTTTAATCACTTAACTTCATCATACCAGTTTGTGTAGGAATGTATCGCTTTGTTTGTAAAAATTGAACATATTTATTTAGCCTACTAATATAAGCCAAAATATACATGACACCAACAAATTCTATTAGTCCAATTGACTCAATCTTTTTTAAAAGTCAGCAATTTTCAACAGCAATTTATATAAGTTTTAACTGGTTTCTCATCAAACATACTTTGAATGTATGTATTCCAATAGCTAGACAGATAGAGAAAATCTCAAGTTGCTACAGCAATTAGACTAGAGCCATACAATGCAAATTATTTTCCTTTGCTGTTCTTATGGAGGGAATATGAGGAATTCATTAAATTCAGTGTATCATTGGAATACATAGAGAAAAATTGACCAATTTTCTGATGAACTAAAGCAGGAATACTATTTTTTTAAATATCTGTTGTAAAAGTTAAATTAATTTAAAGGAAAATTTTTAGCTTGAAATGTCCCTATCAAATTTCACATTATATTACAAATTACAAGGGCACAGGTAATGCAAGGATTTGGTTTATTTCCAGATCAGATTCCATCCAGAATCTACAATGGCTTGATTTACTGCTCTAGGAAACAAAAGGTCCATAGGTCACACCCTCATTTACCTTATGTAGAATAATCTCCCTTGAAAATTATCCCTCCAGTGAAAGTATGCAACATAAAGAAATGCTTACCCACCATGATGGAGGCATTCAAGTATTGAAATACATCAATATAAGCATGAAAGCATAAATTGTGTGTTCACATTGATGCGTTTAAATTACAGCTAAAAACAAACATTTTACATCTGGTTCATCTGGTCACTGTCTCCATCTGACTAACTCAAGTTAAAATAATTAATTTTCTTTTAATAAAGTAAGTTTAGGAGAAATTAGAGTAACCCCTTTCAAGAGATTTGAATTGTACAACACAAAGCTAAAATGTAATGCTATATTTCATGGAAAATTATCTTAAAATTTTGTTAAAATGCAATTTTTGCTTTTATGAATAAGCAAGAAATATGAACTACAACATACAAAGAATGATTTCAATATTTCATAGGCAATTATATTTTAAATTTATTGGTCATCATCATCTTATCAAAATAATAAGAGAAAGTTAACCTTGATGGTAAAAATACTTTTTATTTGAAGAAAATCAAGGGAAAAATCCTGACATTCATGTCCCTTAAGATTTAATAGATATCACTTAATTTAATTCTCCTGTAAATCTGAAAATTCAAGCTGTATTATTCTAGTTTCATAGAGGGGATCCTGACTCTGAGACATTAAGTAACTTGCCCGTGATCAGAGAGCAAGGCGTGGCTTTGGAATCTGTTCTAGGCCTTTTTAACTAGACAAGGTCTTCTCATGGCAACAGGAAACATTGGACTGCTAACTACAGGGTTGGTGATTCAAATGCAAAACAGAAACAGATCAGAGATATATCTATTGCCTCAGGCCATCATCCTACTACTCTGATCCTGAACTGTTCTTCTTTCTGAGCATTCTTATAAAACATACGTACCACTAGGTTCCCGATGACCATGACCATCATGAAGACAGTAAGGCACATGGGTTGGCCGGCGACCTCCATACAGTCCCACATGGTCTCTATCCACTCCCCACACAGCACTCGGAACACGATCAGGAAGGAGTGGAAGAAGTCAGTCATGTGCCAGCGTGGGAGCTCACAGTCGCTGGAGATCTTGCAGACACATTCTTTGTAGCTCTTCCCAAAGAGCTGCATGCCGACCACGGCAAAAATGAAGACGATGATGGCCAAGACCAAGGTGAGGTTACCCAGAGCCCCCACTGAGTTACCAATGATCTTTATCAGCATGTTCAGTGTGGGCCAGGATTTTGCCAGCTTGAAAACTCGCAGCTGTAATCAAAAGGAAAGACACCATTAGCAGCGAGCCCGAAGTAACTATGGGAGTTAGATATCATCTTATTAATATACCAAATTGGAAACCCACTTTGGAGGGATACAAAACCTCGAAAGCTACTAACTCAATTCAAACCCTGGAAAATGAGAGCTAATAATAGGACTTGAAAATCATATCATATAATTAAAATGCAAAAAAAATATATAGCATTTCAAAAGCGATAAAACACTTTCACAACATCAACAGGCATATCCAAGGAAAAATTAGAATATTTATCTGAGACATTTATAATGTTATTCTCAGCCCAGGGAATCACAAGAGTAATCTTAAAATTTATGAGTTGTATGTTTTTAAAGCGCCACTATGAAGCAAGCTAATTTATTGAACTCTAGAGGAGCCTTGGTGGTATCGTGGTTTTGTGTGGGGCGGCTGAGCTCCAGGTCAGTAGTTCCAAACCACCAACCACCCTGCAGGAGAATGATGAGGCTTTGCACTCTGGTTGAGACTTACAGACCTGAAAGCCCAAGGGGCAGTTGACCCTTTCCTCTAGGGTCCCTGAGAGTCAGAATCGAATGGCTATCAGTGAGTTAAGTGAGAAACGTTTTCCTTTAATTTGAAAATATACAATTAAAATCAAACTGCCAATAAATGTGTTTGCCATAGTTTTAAAAACACTTATAATATTATTATTTATTATGCTGATGGTGTCACATATTTTCCCATATATTTGTAGTTTGAAAGTCATGACCACTGATAGGATTAATAGAAAGTGAATATTAATTGGAGTCTGAGATATTTATTTTCATCTCTTGCCAGGCTTTAGATCTAAAAAATACAATACAAAACCCCACAAAAAAACACCAACCGTGAATTTAAAAATTAGTTTTGGAAGCACTTAGCTGCTTTTTAGTGAGCCTTACACAGCTACTATTTTGAAGTGCATGAAATGTTTTATCTGTATTATAAAGAATCATTTACATAACTTAAAATAAACAGCAAAAAATACACATTGATTCAGTTCCAAAATATAACAGTGAAACCAAAACAAGACAAGACAGTCTATGCAGCTACCAGTCGGAAGGATCGCAGGACCGACAATCCGTCCACATTTGACAGGCCCAGCTCCATTAAACTTAAGCTGACAATAATTCCATCAAAGATATTCCAGCCCTCTTGGAAGTAGTAGTACGGATGCATGGCAATGACCTTGAGGACCATTTCCGCTGTGAAGATCCCCGTGAAGACCTGAAGCAAAGCACAGGTCAGGGCTTCAAAGCACTGAAATACAGTTGACACTGGAAACATTTGCGAGGAAGAACATTACACAGGCATGAATAAAACGATCTAGACTTTACATTGCAAAATTAGTGACAAGTCAATGCAAGTTCCTTTTCAGAGAACTATTTTAAGTGGATGTGTATTCCTAAATTTTTAATCGATTGTTCTGCTGGATTTACTGAGCATCTCCTAAATGCTAGGCATTGTGAGAGGCATGGAGTATATAATATCAATTATCTCAAAAACCAAACTCACTGTTATTGCATCCATAACAGTGACTCGGTTATCAGAGGGACTCTGTAAGACAGAGGAGACTGGTCTCTGGATTTCTGGGACCTTCAGGAGAAAGGAGAAAGCACACCTTTCTCCTGAGGAGCAGCTTCAAACTGCTGGCCTTCATAATTAGCAGCCCAATGTATAACCTAGAGCTCCACCACGTATTTAATAGTAATTAAAACATACCACTCAAGATTACATGTAGGTTGTTCAATTTTTAGTGAAGAATCAATTTACTAAGGAATGAGTTCGGTGAGAAGTTCCTAAGCTGTTTCACATGTTGATATTTAATAACTAGTAAAATTCATTGCTCAGGATGACAATGTATCTATCGCACAGGGCAGTTCTCTTCTGCCCTTTGGGGGCGCTATTAGTCAGAATTGACTCCATCGCAAGGAGTTTCGTTTTTGGGGTCTTTGTTTCCCCCCCAGAATGATGTTTCCTTGCTTCCTAGAGAATCTGATTAAATTCTGCCCTATTATTTGTAATTTCCTCTTGTTTTTAAAAAAATTATTCCCATGCCTTTGGAACAAGTATCTTTAATTCTTTTATCTTGAATCATGCATTTTTGGAAGGATGTTGAAGTATATTACAAGAAAATAGGTGAGAAATCATTTAACATTTGTCCTGTTCATCTTGTTCATGCATTATGTGAGGAGGTTTACTGAGATGATCAATTCCCCATCTAATTTTCTTGGATTTTCAAGTTACAAATATTTTATTTGGGAATTGTATAACAATTAATTATCACACAGAGCTTCTCTAAAATGAATTTCTTTGGGAATGAGAGGGAATTTTTAAGATTTTTAGAAAAGGACAGTTAGTTAGATGACAAAAAGCACAGTTAGATGATAAAATAATATTCCTTCACTGGTGTAAAAAGACTTGCAAATGGAGTCTAGAATTTTTCTCTTGACTGCTTTTCTTTCAATAAATAAGAATATTTTCCCTTATCAGCAGATCACCACCTCTCTTTCCTTAAATTTAACATTAATATTCATACAATACCTTTGAATTAAAAGTTATTTTGATAATTACGTGTACTCCTTTATGTTTAAGATTGTTAGGACAGGTCCCATGTTCTAGGATCTGTTCAGGTATAGAATAAGGACACACAATGCCCCTTAATCAATGATTACACAGAATTATAATCAGAAAAATTACTAATTGAGAAACTAAAAAGCTCCATATTCCCTGAAGGAAGAGTTAAAAAGTAACTTGAAGTGATTAGATGAAGATTTTGTCTAGCCTACTATGCTTGATGCAAAATTTCTTGCTCACAGAATCCTTAAGGTAGTTACATGGATTTTTATAATAACACCCCTCTCCTAAAAAAAGCCAACAAACAAACAAAAAATTCCTAAAAACTGGAGAAACTCAAAGGAGATGTGAGGCCTCTTGATAATATAGGAAAGTGATAAAATTTTTGTATGCTGCTAAAACATGATACAAAAAAAATCGAAACTGTGCTAAGATGGAAATATCCACAATTATTTTATGTGACATCCTTTGGTATCAAGTGAACTAACATTTTTAAGTTCTAATCAATAAGACAATAAGTAACCTTCTGAGCATAGATCCTAAATTTATATTATTTTAATAAACAAATCATACACCGCTTTCTTATTATACACCACTCAGGTGTATAATACCAAATTTTGTGTGTATATATATATATATGTATATATATACTCTCGAGTCAATTCCAACTCACACAGTGACCCTATAGGACAGAGCGGAACTATCTCTGTGGGTTTTAAAGACTGAGTCTTTCTGGGAGTAGAGAGCCTCATCATTCTCAAGCAGAACTTCTGGTGGTTTGGAACTGCTGAACTTGCAATTAGAAGTCCAATGTACAACTATTATGCCACATATACATATTTACTTCAAAGGTTGTCCTGGGTATCAAATAAGATATTATATGGGATATTACTTTGTAAACTCTGGAATAGTTTATAAATATCAAGATTAATAAGAATCAGGTTTTTTAGTTAACAAAGACAGTTCGCATGATCTCCTATTTTTGTGGATATGAATTGAAAACTTGAATCTGTTTGCTGTCACCTACGTAGTCCATCTTATGGTCCCATCACTCACTGGAACTTCCCACTGGTTCTATCACAAACACTGTACCATTCTTCAGTCTTCCTCCACACTAGCTTCTCTTACTTACTTTGTCATTACTCACACAACCATAGAACTTTAATACCTCAAGAAGCATGAACAGTCACTTAGTCTGGTGTACTTATTGTTCTCGTGAGAAAACAGCCCTGAGAATCGAAAACAAGTGATGGTGAGAATCACATAGATCTTTAGCAGGAGCCCTTGGCCTTGGGTCCAGATTTGGTGCTTTATTCCAGTGATTTTCTAGTTGATCCCCCAGAGTCTCTCAGCCTGTGCTTCCCTACTCAACATCCTCAACATCGGAATTCGATGAAGCCTCAATTTCCTTCTTTACTCTGGCAAGGTTCCAATGTTTTTCCTTCACTTGTTTAACATCCCTAATTATCCAGTATCCTGGAAAAAAATAAAAGAACCAGAGCGGAAACATTTTCCATTAATATTTCAAAGAAAGTTCGACAGGTTAATAGCCCATAGAGAGGAAGGAAAGTGTTTATTGAGCGCGTCAGATTCTCGGCACAGTTCTAGGTGTTTTCGCTTTACCTCATTTGACTTTCAGAACAAAGCCAGGAGATGGATAATAATGATTCCGATTGTTTATGAGACTCATGCAGAGACCAGAGTGTCGGTTGGGTCTAGCAACTGAGGTCAAAGTCGAGTTCCCTTAATTCCAACACCTGTGTTCTTGCACTACAACCTTCTAACAGAAGCAGTCATTTTAAGCAGGAAGTAAACAGATTGTGGTGGACGTGGAAAGAACCTGTAGGCGCTATGAAAGAAAATTGGCCGGCAAGTAAGTTGTGATAGATTGAAAACCAAAAATAAGATGCAGCAAGCAAATGTTTGATACTTAGCTATATTTGACTCACATGCACTAGAAGGTAAGATAAGAATTTCAACGTGGGGTTGGTGTAAGGCTGGAGGAGATGGGGCTTGAGCTAACCCTTGAGGATATGAATCAGACAGATCAGGTGAGTTGAGACAGAACACTCTAGATCTGAATGCAGAGAAGCTTGAAGGAAGGAATGTTTCCTGTATGCAAACATTTAAAGGATTCTGACAAAACCACAGCTAGCTAATCTGCAAACAGCGGGCAACAGCTGGTAAAGAAGGGTGGGCTCCGATGTGGAGTCTTGAAAACTTAACCGTTGAATCGTAATTACAGATAATAAATACTCTAGTGAGGTGAAAACATACTCGGTGCAGAGTATTAGGAGATGATTATTTTCATAGTAGCTATTGTATTTAAAAAGGAGACACCTTGAAAGGAGAGACAATAGGGCTTTGTATTGAGTTGTACATAAGAAATAAAGCAAAAGAAAGTCAAAAGGGTAATAAAATCTCTGTGTTTGGAATCTGGAATGCCACTACTGCCAGTTAGACAAGACTGAAGTGGGATTAATAGACGTTTAAATCAACTGGGGTGAAATGTCGTCTTTCAGTGGTGCAGTGTCCAAAGAAATCCTTGAGGCAATGATCGGTAAAAGTTGGAGATATAGGCTGGAACATTGATCTCACTAGAGTAGATCATTTCAAGAGCTATCGAAAACATAAGAACATTAAGTGAAAAACATAGGCTTAAAGGAGAGAAGTCTAAACCAGGAGACAGAAGGAGTGGCTTAAAAGATAAACAAATCAGAAGAAAGATCAATATCATTATTGTCAAAGATGGGGAAAAAAACCAATGAATGTCCAACTAAGTCAAATGATGCCAACAAGGAGAGACTTATTAAGATTGTGAGACTTTATGTAATTATCTGCCAAGTCCATACAATCCTAAATTATGCAACAAATCATTAATCTAGAGTTAAGCATCTGACCCAAGCTCCGTCAAACAAGTTCTTTCATGAGAGTCTGAACTGGAGCTGAGACATCTGGAAGTCCATTTGCCAGTGCAGACAGCATAAGATGGAAAGCCAGTGAGCATGCTTCCTAATTTTGGAAAAAAAAGAAGCAGTGTAGGTTTGGGTGACTTCCCAATCTTTGGTTAAAGTTGTCCTGCAAGTCCAAGTGCAATTTTGCCTTATGTATTATTGGTAGTTTATCTTTACCAGATTCCACGAGTCAACTTTAACTCATGCTAGCTTGAGTTCAGCATTTGTCTGTCATCCATTGCCATAACCAGAGACCCCTTTCTTTCCTGTGACTTCCTCTCAATGCAGAGGAAACTGCCAGTGGACACGTATGCACGCACTTGCGCATACGAGAGTCTACTCATGTCTAAGTGATTTGAACCAAAATACAAGTGCATTTTACCAACTATTTCTTCCCTTACATGAATGTCACAAAACTGTTTTTTCAGGTAATTACATTTGCAACAACTGTGCTCTTTTGCACCAAAATGATTCATTGAATTTTCCCTTGCTTAGGCATGATTTCTTCGGTGGCTGTGTACACTAAAACTTCAGAGTTATGGAACTAAAGCTGTTCTTCTGATTTCTCTGAAAATCTAAAGGTAGGTAAAGATTTTTACAAGTTTATAAACTGGTAAGACACCATGATCAACCAGCACTGATACAAAACCAGCACTAATGCTAACCAAATTTGAGATTGATTTATGAGATTTCTGTGATAGTCTTACAGCTATATCATCCTGTGAAGAAAGATTGCATCATGTTTCTTCAATGTAGCTTATTTAGATTTATTTAGTTAGATATATATCCTCCACTTCTTGCCAAAATAATTAAAAATTCCATAAGCTTACCAGGTTTCCGACAGTTAGCACCCTGCTGAACTGCTCCGTCATGGGGTAGTGCTCCATGGCCATGAAGAGCGTGTTTAAGACGATGCAGATGGTGATGGCCAAGTCCACAAATGGATCCATCACAATTAAATTCATAAGATGCTTCACTTTTAACCACGCCTCACAGCAATCCCAGATCAAGAACATATTGGCAAATCTGTACCAGCACGGTGGACATTTTTGTCTAGACTCTTCGAGTTCTGGTGGTATAAAACAGAAGAATATATTAGAAACCAATAAATATGAATTACTGTGCTAACATTATTCTTTGATCAAACTGATTCTTTTACTAGAGTATAGATATTATACTCGTAAGGTTGACACATTTGAGAAGACAATATTGTTAAATATTTTCACAAAATGTTCATGAAAAATGTCCTGTAGAAGGACTTTCTCTTTTGATGAAATACAAAATATAAGCGTTTTGTTCCCAAATAGTTAAGTAGGCAATGATTAATTAAGTTGCTCTATCTTTACTAGCAAAATAGAATTTTTAATAAACCTTATAGGAACATTAAATGTATTACACAATTATTATTTCTTCTGAAAATACCATGTAAGTAAAATATTACTTACAGCTGTGATCTTTATTAATATGTATGACCCTTCTGTGCTCTAATTGTCTCCACATCTCCAGCTCTCTTGCACTCAATACTTTCAGTACTGCTTCAGACCCAGATCAACATCTATGATTCATATTTACATATATATTTTAGAACTTTAGCCTAGGATGTATAAAAGTTACTAGTAATTTGGGTGGATAAATCCAGTTATAAAATAATCATTATGTGAGTGCTCAGATATTCAGTACACCCACAGGACAAAGACCACATGGAATATGTCTTTCCTGAAGAACACTGGCTTTATAAAACTTGATAAAATTATAGTAAAAAGGTAGTATCCTTTCAAATTTCAAAGGATATAGGTGGTTTGGTTTTTTTTGAGGGCGGGAGTTTCTTGCTTGTTTTTAACTTTGTATTATGGTTTGGATGAAAGATTACAGAGGAAATTAGTTGTCCATTCAGTTGTTTTAAACACATTTTGTTTCATGACATTGATTGCAATCTGCACAATGGAACAATACTCTCCCCACTTCCTTCTTGTATTCCCCACTTCCATTTGTCCTTCTTTCCTGTTCCTCCCTGCCTTCTGAGTTTGCTGTTGGGCAAGTACTCCCCTTTTGATCTTCTCTGTATCACTGTTCTAAGGAGTCGTCATGAGTTGCAATCAACTTGATCGTGACTAATGACCATGGACTACGGCTCCCTTCCCGGTGTTAGTGTAGGGGCCTGTTGTTTGACTGAAAGTAGAGCTATGGAGTGAGTTCCATTCCACGCCACCTATGCTTTGCCTATTTCAAATTGGTGTATCCTGTCAGTAACAGTTCATTGAAGGGTGTCTAAAGGCCATATGACCAGGGGTTCCACCAGTCTCCATTAAATCTGGTGTTCTTATGATTTTGACTTTTATTCCACCTTTTTCTCTCATTCTATACAGAACCTGCTATTGTGATCACCGTCAGAGCGGTCCATAGTAATAACTGAGCAGCATCTCATTCTTCTGGTTTCAGGGGAGCAGAAGCTGAGCTTGAAAGGGTCCATTAGTCTTTTGAACTAATTGTTTTCTTGAGTGTTTGACTTTTTCACTCTTCTTTGCTCGAGAAATGGAGAAACCAATAGTTGTACCTGACATAGTCACTCACAGACTTTTAAGACTGAGTACTCTGTTTAGTGAATGAACAAGGAGCAATAGCCCCGTCTGTGTGTCAAAAGCCATGAACATTTGTGTCAGCTATCCTTTCGAGAAAAGTATTGTTTGCTCTGTATGTGTGTGTCATGTGGACGAGGAGATCTCTTTTTTAGATTCCCCATGAGAGTGGGGAAAATCTGGCAAGGTTTTAACTTGCCAGACTTAACGATACCACCCCTTCAATCCTGTCACCATCTCTATGTCTTGTGCTTTCACTTATAAAAGAATGATTGTACAACCTTTTTTGATATGATTGAACTATTGAATCATGTGCTATTTGAATGATTGTCCGATACAACAGTTTATAAAAAAGGATGTATTTAATTGCTGAAGGGGAATGTAACATAAGAATAAAATTCTCAGTGATATAACATCAGGAGTCCCTGGTAGCACAAATGGTTGGTCCGTCTAGCTTCCTGTTTATGAAAGGTCACAACCTTGAACATCTATGAAGCAGTTCCTCTGCACACTTGGGGTCTTCGTGCATTGGAGTCAACTTGATGACAACTAACAACAATGGAACATGGCTCTATAAACAACCATGAACTCAGTTAAGAAGATTTAAGGCCAACGTTTCTTAGTCAAAGTAGCAATAATGTATTTCATATATACATAGGTCTGATATATAGTTCTGATCTTGTGTCTCCATTGTATGATTGTCCCACATCCCTGTGAAATATTTTTGCCCTGAATAATTGACTGGAGTAATTTTAGGATAAGATGAAAAGTTCCCCAAACCTCACTTTAGGGAAATAATCATAGTACGTGGGCTATTCCATGGCCTGATACTTACCCTCCATTGTGTTGGTCAAGATGCTAGCGATGCTCATGGCTCTTTGCCTTCCAGAGGAATCCTCCAGCATCTCCATTGAAATTTGATAAGAACTTAGCCTTCTCTTTCTCAAGTCCGTTTCAGTCGTGGTGCCCTGCAAACCAAATACTTATGGCTCAAACCACCCCTTTGACGAATAACGCAAGGCCACACAGCATCTCTTTGGAAAATCATGCTCCATGCAAGTTGCCAGGTAGTAATTTTCAAGTAATATTAAAATAATGATTTTAATTTGTTAGTATATGCTTTAAAAATAACCACAACCACAAGTGATACCTTTAAACAAGGATTCACCTGTTAGATGCAATTGTTTAGGGAAATTGTGCTACAAAATTTTTCCCATTAATTTGTGATCACTTTCCAGGGTTATTTCATGAGTCTGCTGAAGTCAGGTATTATTTTATGCCATTCAGACACAAATGATTTGTACAGCTTATGCTAGTGATTACTATTATCAGAGTAATTCGCCCCTCAAAGAACAACAACAACAAATTATTAAATAGGTCCAAAGCTGAGGTTTTCTTCTTTGACTATTATTGACAATACTGGCATAAAGGCCAATTATTTTCCATGCACAAACACAGATGTACAATGAAATGTGTGTGCTTTCCTGAGATCTCATTATTTCTATTTGTCATCCTATAAAAAAATCACATTTATGTTAAGCTATTTTAAAATAGTACCGTAATAGACAGTTGTAGGAAAAATGCCCATTTTAATTTTTTAGGGGTGATTATACAATTTTAACATATATGAAATTATACACATTATGGATAATTATACAAGTCTGGGTGAACATCCCTTTAATAAAGATTTAGGTATCAAAATGTTCAGAGTCTTGTCTGCTGCGTGTTCAGATGTGTGTTTCATCTCAGACTCTAAATATGGAGTCCTTTTGACTTATTGCACATGAAATTTAAAGATTTTTTTTTTATATAATTCAAGTCATTATAAAGATTCCATTGAATTCCACCCAACTGACCATACATTATTTTTAAAGAGTTTCTTTTGGGAAAACAGGCTAAACTGCCCAGGCATTGCACATTTCAAATTGATGTACGCTGTCAGTAGTAGCTAATTTATCTATTATCACCTCTGGGGGAAGTTGTCCAGTAGGTGAAGTTAGGGCGGGGGGTCCACCCACCAAGGAAACCACACCATTGCAATCCACAGTGCTGTGCATCTTCCCACTCGCTGGAAGCCCTGGCACCATCCTGGATGACATACTGGCCTGACTAACGTTACTGTGGCGTCGCTCTCCATGTCTGTGCGGCACGAACAGCGAGTCTCTCCTGCTCTCGCTGTCTTCAAAGGTGCTGTGCTCGTCGTCAGCAAAGTCGTTTTCAGAACCAACGTCCTTCGCTCGCCCTCTGAAGCTGAAAATGCTTGTTTTGCTGTTGCGCCTTGGGGAAAACAGGGAGCCCCGGATGCTCAGCAGAGACTGGAGAGGGAAGGGGGAGAGGACCGGGAGGAACGCCAGTGAGTGAATGCAAGTCTTCAGATCGCACAATCTGTGAATGCAAGCCTTCAGGTCGCACAATCTACTTGCCTAGGGATTAGAATAGACTTCTTAAACATAAGTAACCACAGTGGTAGAGAGCACACGTTTTGAGGTTTTCCATCCAAGACCTTACTCACATTGAACTTTAAAGAAAGCTGCGTTTTTTTCTTTCCTGTTTAGCGATTCAAATGTGTAGTTTACTAGGCGTGTAGCCAATGCATTTAATCAGAGTGAGAGGGGGAAGCTTGTTGGGCCCTGTCTCAGGGGAGGACCTGACAAGTGACCCAGGTGGGAAAAGACTCTCCCTGAGGCTGCTGCTGCTGGTGGCACAAGGAGAAGCAGTGGTGTGAGCGGCATGCAGATTGGAGAATGAGTTACGACTCCAGGGAGACTGTGGGCTCAAACGGAAAATATCAGCCCCCAATAATCTGCCTCCACAGAACGATTGTTTCGAACACACCATTGGCTCTTTGCTCTCTCCTTCTTCGGGATTTCAAAAGGAATGGGTTTAACTCTTCTGGATTGTTCTGTCTAGATCCACAAGGGAATAATATTCAGGATGCTTCCCTAGGAGCCAATCTTCCAAGTTTTCTCACAGTTTCTCAAATGACTACCAATGGCTCACTTTTTTTTGAGAGAATATATACCATAGCAAATATGAAGAAATGATTCCTAAATTGCTATATAGATTATTAGTCATACTTAAAAGTGGACATTAGTTTAAAAAATCAACACATATAAACAGGACTTAACCAAAGTGCTTATCTCTTTTTAATTATACCAGAATGAGCCACAGGTTTCTAAAATCTTTATTCTTAAATATGTGCCTATGTTATTTCTAGGTATGAGAAGGGGGATTCACATGCAGGTCCTTCTTTGACTTTTTGAGTGGATTTTAAACTGGCAGCACCAAATTTCCCTGCACTTCTTCTAGTCTTGGTGATAGTCTAATAGGTCTTCAGAACCCTTGTTTACTCCCTTCCTGTAAACATGACGATTCTCCTTTCTCCTACCTCTCTTCATAGCCAGCATTACACACAGAGAGAGAGAGAGAGAGTCAGAATCAGCAGCCAACCTTCTCTTTCTCTGTTTCAGTATAAAACTATTAAAAAAGTCTTAATAGAAAATAAAAATGCAAGGTAGACTCTGTCTCCTTTAGTTTCCAATCCCTTGCCTAATAACCTCCAGGCTGATTTTCGTTGGCTTCCTTTTCCCAGGCGGCAAAGCACCAGACTAATCTTCGCTGTCCTCGGTCTCAGTGATTTTCCAGACAGATTACTCATTAAGAAATGTACTCTTTCGTTGGACTGAGCATATTCTTCACAAAGTCTATGCTGTCATGCGTGTCTAGCTTGCTCAACTGGAAGCTGTGTCACTGTTACATTCCACTCCCCAATGTCTGATAGTAGTTTGACTGCTTTTCTAATCACTACTGTGATCGAGAGTAAACTGTGTGAATACATTAATTCACCCCTCCCCACTAATAAAAATTCCATTGAACATCTCAAATTCCATTTAAATTAGCACTATAACATTGCTAACATATCCAGAGCTGGTGTTTTGAAACTCTTGTGTGCAAATGGGTCATTGTGAGTCTATTTTCTAGGTCTCTGATTTTAGGAGTTGGAATTTAGTAAGTTGGGGGCATCTACTTGATGGCAGTGGGGTTCTTGATGTTGAAGTAAGTAGTCGGTCTCTGGAATCTGAATTTTCACACAAGTTTATGATGACTTGAATGTGTGCATACAGCTAGAGAAAGAATAACTTGGTCATACCTCAATCCCTAAAACTGGTCAATGTAACCATCTTAGCATACCTGTACTCTAACACTGTCTCTGGAACCTGACACTCTGTCTACGTAAGGTCAGTTGGAAGTATGCATATGCTCCCAGAAAGTGTCTGGTACATGCCTTTCATTGGCGTGTTTCCATGCTGGAGTGTGTTCAAAGGCGTGCCAGATCTTTGAGTTTATTTGAAAGTTCTATTCACTCTTTGGAAACTATAATAATGGGTGTGAGCACAGCTTTCAAGGCAACAGAGACAGAAAAAGAAGATAACAAAAATAGTATTCAGAGAAAATAAACCAAAAATAACACGCTAGAAGATGTAGCAGAGTGGAGGGAATACCCACAGCTGCGGCAACCCTGTCTCCAGGGACAACGCGCCTTGAGGACCTCAGGATCTGGAGGCTATCTCGTGCTGCCACAGACAGGCCCAAACATAAACTCTAGGTTTGCTTGTTTATTTTTTACCTTGGACCAAGAATATAAATATGAGTATGGGCATCAAGGTGCAGTATAGCACCGATGAAACATACAGCTTTCGTCTGGTTCTTTAATGCTTCCTCACCCCCACTATCATGACCCTAATTCTATCTTACAAATCCGGCTAGACCAGAGCATGCACACTGGTACAGATAAGAGCTGGAAATACAGGAAATCCAGGACAGATAAACTCCTCCGGACCAATATTGAGAGTAGCCATACTAGAGGGGAAGGGGAAGGTGGGGAGAGAAAAGGGGAACTAATCACAATGACCTACCTATAACCCCTCCCAGGGGGATGGACAATACACAAGGGATAAAGGGAAACATCGGACAGTGTAAGACATGAAAAAAAATAGTAATTTATATATTATCATGGGTTCATGAGGGAGGAAGGGAGGGGATAAAAATGAGGAGCTGATACCAAGAGCTCAAGTAGAAAGAAAATGCTTTGAAAATGATGATGGCAACTTATATACAAATGTGCTTGACACAATGGATGTATGTATGGATTGTGATAAGAGTTGTACGAGCTCCCAATAAAGTTATTTTAAAAAATAGGAGTATGGGCTCTCTTCATTTTCAGTAACGAGGGAAAAAGAGAAGGAATTAGGTCTGTAAGCACAATGTTGCGCAGAAGAAGTGGACTTTGTGGGTGAGGAGAAGTCACAATTGCAGATGGTGTGTGGAACTTCTGGGAGGCAGTCAGAATGTCAAGGTAAACGCAGGCCCCTTAAAAACGCCATCAAGAAGTCAGCAACTACACTTGACTATAGTTAAGATGCTCTGGGAAAAATGGAATTGACTTAGGATGTCCACTTGACATAGAGAAAATCTTTAGGAATAGAATAAAACAGAGACTCACTTTCCATTTTACACCTTTAAACATGTTTACATTTTGTGTTCTGAAAATGCATGTTCCATTAAAAAGTAAAGTAACATTTCAAAATTATGTTAGAAGGCAGGGCACACATTTTGTTTTGTTTTGTCTTCTTGGCCCTCTCTGCTCTGACATTTTCAGAAGACGTATGATTGTTTACAGTGAACCCTGTCTGTCTTACTCTTTTTGGCTACACAACCCCCACTGATTCTCTTACCTGCCAGCAAGAGGACTTTCTGTCCTCGGAAAACCAGGACTTGTAAATCGCTTATGGAACCTTTCATTTTCTGAGTGGGGCTCATGCTCTCTTCCTGTCTTTACTTGGAAATGTATATTTCATCTTTAACGTGCTATTGCATTTACTATTGGAATAGTATCCAGCTATGGATAGTTGATCTACTTCTCTACTTGAAATCTAAAACTATTTGCACATAAGCAACTTCCGTTCATGGTGACTCGCATGTGGGTCAGCGGAGAACTGCGCTCCAGTGGGTGTTTCACAGTTTTTCTTTAGGAAGTCCATTGTTCCCAGGTGCTTCCGGGTAGATTGACTCTCCACGCTTTCATTTAGCAGCATGCATTTAACCATTTGATATACCTAAAGCCTCCATTTCTTGATCTATCACGTCTCCAGGTTAGTGTCTCTCTTTTTCGTCTGCGTTTATGTTGTCAACTAACTTCTCTCAACTGCCGTCTTTCTGTGGCTCACTTAGCTCCAACCAGCCAGGCCTCCCAGCTGCTCCGTGGGCCTCCCAGGCACATGACTGCATCCGGGCCTTTGCAGTCGTTCTTCCACAGCCTGATATACCTGCTTCCTTTCCCTCCCCTACAGGTTGTTCAACTGCCCATTTTATCAGGCGGTCTTCTCACAGCATCTATTTAAAATTCCACCTCAGATGAGCACTTTTAGCCATCTTTCCCTGGTTGGAAGCCCTGGTGGGTCTGTGAAAAAGGCGTGGGCCTTGCTAACCTTTAGGTTGGATTTCAAACCCACCTCTGCAAGAAGGCCTCGTTATACATTGGGCTGCTAACTTCAAGGTTAACAGTTTGAAACCACCAACTGCTCCACAGGAGAGAGATGAGGATCTCCAATCCTGTAAAATGTTAGCGTCTTGGAAACCCACAGGGGCAGTTTGGGCTCTGCCCTCAGGTCATTACAGGGCGCGCTGGTGCTAGAGTGGTTACAAATTGGGCTGCAATCCACACGGTTGGTCATTGGAAACCACCAGCAGCTCCTCAGGAGAAAGACTGGACTTTCTACTGCTGTAAACAATTGCAGCCTCCGAAACCCACAGGGGTTGACCATGAGTCAGCCTTGACTCGATGGCAGTGAGCGTAAGGTCACTATGAGTTGAGATCGATTCGATGGAAGACTGGACTTTCTACTGCTGTAAACAATTGCAGCCTCCGAAACCCACAGGGGTTGACCATGAGTCAGCCTTGACTCGATGGCAGTAAGCGTAAGGTCACTATGAGTTGAGATCGATTCGATGGCGGTGAGCGAAAGCCACTCTCTGGGAGAAAGATGAGGATGTTTACTCCCATTCCAGAAAACTTTTGGAGCGGTGAGCTAGGATCAATTCAATGGCAGTGGATTCTATTTTGTTCTGGGGGGTGGGTGCTTATCAGGAGCTCTGGTGGCGCAGTGGTCAAAGCACTAATCAGCTCACGGAATGTTTGGTATTTCAATCCCACTAGCTGCTCCTTGGAACAGAGATGTGACAGCCTGGTCTATAAAAATCTACAGATAAGAGCTGGAAACACAGGGAATATGGCCAGATAAACTCCTTGGCATACCAGGAGGGGAAGGGGAAGGTGGGAGGAGAAAGGGGGGACCGATCACAATGACCTACCTATAACCACCTTCCAAGGGGATGACCAATAGACAAGGTGGGGGAGGGAGACATCAGACAGGCCAAGACATGAAAAAATAATAATTTGTAAATTATCAAGGGTTCATGAGGGAGGGAAGGGGGTGGGAAGGGGGAAAATGAGGAGCTGATACCAAGGGTTCAAGTAGAAAGAAAATGCTTTGAAAATGATGATGGCAACATATGTACAAATGTACTTGAGACAATGGATGTATGTATGGATTGTGATAAGAGTTGTACGAGCCCCCAATAAAATGATTTTTAAAAATGTGTAGCCTGGAAAACCCTGGGAGGGAGTTCTACTCTATCTTCTAGGGTTGCTGTGGGTCCGAATCAACTCAGCAGCCCTGGGACTGGGCGATGGCCCCATTCCGGCAGCCGATCACTTTGTTATTTTGTTTATTTCTGTCCCCTTCCTTCTTTGGACTATAAGTTCCATGCAGTCAGAGAGCTGTTGCTTTTTTGTTTTGAGGCCTTTCGTCATACCGGGATATCCCTGACATACAGTATGTGATCAATGACTAGTTGATGAACTGATTGAGCTAATTCACCAATTTTTCAGTGCAATGATCAAATAATTATTTTCAAAGCATGGAACTAGTGCTGCGTATGTGTATATATTTATAACGAGTCAGAAGTACTCAAAAGAAGCTTTTCCGTTTCCTTCTTTGGAGATGCATTTGTCCACCGTAACTTAGCAAGAACCTAACTGTTGTAAAGCCCAAACCAAACCACCCTCACTGCCGTGAAGTCCAGTAGAGGAAAACTGCCCTAAGTGGTTCCCAAGGTTCTCGAGACTGACTCATCTTCCCAGAGTGCAGCTGGTGGGTTCGAACCACTGACCTTTCAGTTAGCAGCCCAGTGCTTAACCATGACACTGCTAGAACTCAACAATTGAGGTGTTCTATATGAGAGGGGTTCAAAAGGTTCAAGGATAAATGAAAAGAAAGGGGGACTTTCCCATGAACTCTTTGAAGCCCCTTTGTATATCACTTTATTACCCCCAAGGACTCTAAGTGTTCTTACCCTATTTCTTGCAGAAAGCAAGGGAAACTTGAAACATTTACTGATAAAGACAAAGGCTACCACCTTCCGTATGATTTATACCTCAACATAATGAATCAAAAATCCTTACAAGGAGACCAATAAGTCACATCATGATGACCAGAGAAATGATGGAAGCCATGAAGGAGACATAGTCAATAAATCAAACGATGCACTGCAGAGGGCAACTCTGCTGTAAAAAAGCTTTATAATATGTTAAATGGCAAAGTGGTCACTTTGAAGACTAAGGTGTACCCAACCCAAGCCATGGTGTCTTCAGTCAACTCATCACGTGCATTGAGAAGCTGGGGAACAAATAAGGAAGACTGAAAGAAGGATTGATGTCTGTGAGTTACAGTATTGGGAACAGACATGAAATAAATCACGACTGCCCTGAGAACAAACAAACCTGTCTTGGAAGAATTCTCCTTGGAAAGAAGTACGGCGGAATTGCAAGACTTCATCTCTGTCACTTGGGCATGCTTTTAGGAGGCACTGATTTCTGGAGACGCACCTAGTGGTTGGTAAGGTAGAGGGCCGATGTAAAAGAAGCAGATGCTTAATGAGGAGGATTAATGCAAATCCTGGATGGGCTCAAACACAGCAAAAACGGGGTGGGTGGTGGTGCAGGCTGAGCCAATAGGGGTCAGAACTTACTGAATGGCACCTACTCACAACAGTAACACCCCAGTCCACAGCAGCCTTATAAAATACGAGTGACTCAACCCAGGGGACCAAACTAATTTAGAGCTCAGATAAGAACACAAGTTTTCCTGAAATCAGTCATTGTGCTGTAGTGGCAAGTACTCCTAATGACTTCTAATTTTATGAATAATGCAAAATTATCAAGGGAATACGTTTACGCCAGAAAAAGAAATCTGGTCTGAGAAACTGAGTTGTCTTACAGTGCCTCAAGTTAACCCTAAATATAGTTTACTTAGTAAATATCACATTTTATTCAAGATATTTTATTATGGAAGGTAGTGGTATTTGAATTGAATATTAAAATAGAGTGCAGTAAAGTTTTTATCATTTAACTCTGTGTATAGATGTCTATGTTATCTAACATGAGAATTCAAGGGTTTGATTAGTAATATAGATACTATTTCTGTTTTTTCATTTAAAAGTTTTAGTTGTAGGTCAATGTAAATTATAATATAAACATCTAAAAATAGTTGAATATCCCCTTTTCTCCCCAACAAAAGCTAAATACTGTACTGACTTTTTAGCTTATCACTTCTGGCTACTATTTTTTTTGGTTTCTATACTTCTAAAAAGAGTATTATACATGTTAGTTGCTTTCCGTGTTTTTTTGTGTGTGTAAGGTATTTATGTGGTGTGCACCTCAAAACATTACTTAGAGCAGTGGTTCTCAACCTTCCTAATGCCGCGACCCTTTCATACAGTTCCTCATGTGGTGGTGACCCCCAACCATAAAATGATTTTCGTTGCTACTTCATAACTGTCATTTTGCTACTGTTATGAACTGGATCGTTTGACTCCTAAAGGGGTCATGACCCACAGGTTGAGAGCCATTGACTTAGAGCTCAGATTAATATTATAATGAAGAGTCAATTATTCCTAAGGAATTCTAATGGAATCAAATAGAGTGTTCATATCCAGAGCTATACATATCACAGATTTTTAATAACTTTTTACATATGTTGTTGTCACTCAGTGCCATGGTGTTGGTTTTCACACAAAGCCACCTGATCGACAACAGAAGGAAGCACCATCAGGGCCCATGCCACCGTCGCAAGTGTTCTCATATCTGAGCCCCATGTTGCAACCACGCGTCAGTCTGTCTTGTTGAGGGTCGTCCTCTTTTTGCTGGCCCTCTATTTTACCACCCACAATGGGCCTTTTCAGGGACTGCTGCCTCCTGCTAAGATATCCAAAGGATGAGAGACCAAGTCCCATCATCTTCACTTTGAAGGCGGATTCTGGCTGTACTTCTTCCAAGACAGAATTGTTTCTTATCCTGACAGTCCTCTTCTTGTACACCATAATTCAAAAGGTATCAGTTCTTCTTGTCCAACTTTAGTATGCAGATAAGGCAATTGAAAATACAATAGCTTTACTTTATGGAGCCTATAAGACTCTTCTATTTAACACGAAAGAGGTGACACTATCCTTTCCTATTAGAGATGACAATATCTTGAAGAATCGAGTCGCTAGCATGAACTCGGAGGGAAAGCAGACTCCCTTCAATTGCATTTGCTTCTAGAGCACTGAGATAATGTCACTTGAATGTATCATCGGATGACACCCTACCAGTATACGGGAGGCTCCTGATACGACCGTTCTCGTGTCAAGCGATAAAGGCAAATCTCAAAGAGACATTTGTTTGAAAACTTCATGCATACAGTATCACTGCAACTGTAAGTGGAAGAGGCAGAAACTCATAAACAAAAAGGATAAGTTCATCGGAGGTCATAAGATGGAAAAGATAAACAAGAGATTGGGCAGCAGTCTCACCGAAGAGCAATGACTCAGGATACAAAGTTAATAATAATGATACAGCTTATGAAACAGGCCTCAAAATAATTTTTAAAAATCTGAATGTAATTGGTTTTGCTTCAATGGAACTTTCTTTAAAGACAATGTAGTCTAAGAATTTAAAGGATCAAATTTTGTTTCCTTTTACTTACATTAGGTGTGGCCAAACTATACCCAAAATATAGCAAAGCAATTACCAAAGCAAAAGAAACACCACCAACCAAAAACAGCAATGAGGAGAAAGCCTTACCTGATGAGGGGAACAGAATTTCTTTTCACCACTCAGTCGGTTTCCGTCCATGGAGAAAAGGAAGCTGCTTCGTTTGACGCTGTCTTCAGATTCTGATTTGGGAAACCGACCTCCCTCTCCCCTGTTACTTCCATCAACGTGCTCCCGCTGCCTTCTTTTCTTCCTTCGGTTCCTCCACTCCTTAGCACTTTTGGAGCTTAACTTAGATGCTTCTGAAGAACTCTCTAAGAGCTCTCCTAATCCGCCTATCCCACTGAAGTCTCTCGAAGCAGCCGATGCTGCTGCAACGGCCTGTTGTGAAAAAAAGCCAAGCTCTGTTTAGAATAGATAACTTTGAAAACAGTCAACAACGCTACAAATGTCCGTTAACACCCTTATGTTTAAAATTGATGTTTTCTGATCAATTCATTATGCTGTACCACAAGAAGATATGACGTAATGATTGTGATTAGTTGCTGGTGAGACCACTCCAACTCATGGTAACCTTACGTCGATCAGAACAAAATGCTGCCTGCTCCTGCAACGTCTCCACGATTGGTGGTGTGTCTTAGTCCATGGAGTTAACTTAATTAATGGTCCTTTGTCTTCAAATATGGAGCCCGGAGAGGGTCATGGTGAAGCATTGGGCTGCGATCCGCATGGCCGACTGTTCAAAACTACCAGCAGCTCCAAAGGAGGAAGATGAGGCTTTTTACTCCAGTCTTGGGAACCCACCGGGGCCGCTATGAGTCAACATTGATAATGGCTGTGAGAGAGTCTTAAAATGTGAGAAAGACTGGCCTTTATACTCCCATCAACCATTATGGCCTTAGAAACTCATGGGGCAGTTCTACCATCAACTCGATGGCTGTGAGCTTTCCAGTCTGAAAATAATATAAAAGAATATTCCAGCGTACGCAGTGGATCATGAAAAGCCTGGCTTTGAACATCACCCCCCACCTTTTTTTTTTTTTTAAACTCTGTTGATATTAGTCTTAGGGAGGACCTGGCCTCTCTGAAATCTCTTCTACAGTTTAAAAGCAAATGTTATCTTAGTGGCGGTTGCTAGGCATGGGGAATGGGAAGATAGAATGTCATCCCTGTAAAATTAAGAGAATAACTGGTCTGATTTCCTGTTCCAGTTGCATCCACAGTCTTACTGCTCTTGAATGGTATTGTCAATAATGGAGTGGTATTTTTCCCCTATCTACACCTCGGGCAAAGACTGCTTCTTTTATAATTTTTTCTGAACTCAAAACATTCATGTGTGTCTATTTTATTCCTTAATAGATGTAGTGGGAATGTATTGGCTGATTTACCCTTCTCCGTTATTTGAACTACATTTAGTACTATAGTTAATATTCCAGGAGTCATATTAACTTTAGAGAATTTATAATATAGCACCTTTATTTTTACATTTTTATGTGTTTATAATTGTCTATGATTATCAATACAAAGCTATTCAACCATCAATGAATAAGCACCTTAAGCAATCATTCAAAAGCCTATAGGAACGCTAAATGTTTTCTTTCCACACATTTAAAGTATCCTAAGTATTTTCAATTTCTATGTCTATTGACGAAACAAGCACATCTAGGTCTTATGTGAATAGTAGTTTCAGGCTGGAAATGATCTAAGCATGACTGTAGATGTTCCTAATACATTACAAACCATATCACAGCAGTAGCCTCGTTAAGTATATGCCTGTTTCTAAACATAACCACAGCAAAAGAAATGATCAGCTTATGAGACTCTTAGTTAAGATTTATGCAGATGTCATTATTAAATAAAAACAATTCTAATTTATAAAGCATTGTGTTCTGTTCTCCACTTTCACTAGATCGCAAACTAGACCGTTTTTTTTTGTCACTGCTTGTGTGCTTAGTGCCTAGTGTAACACTTGACATTGAAAGGACTCAATAGATGTTTGTTAAATAAAAATGTATCAAGACAGTGTCAATTGTTTTAGATGTGGAAGCAAATGGGGGGGAATGCTTAGCCTTGACATGTTAAGATCTCAAAAAATATATGTGTAAGCATTTTTTTAACAGTACAATGTTTTTGGAAAGAGTGAAATAAAGCCCATTCGTAATATTTTGACAAAAATTGTCATTTGTTTCCTTCTTCTTGCTAAGTAAACTCTCTCAACTAGTTCCAACTCAACAAAAACTAAAAAAAAAAAAGGTCAACTAAAGGTGCTATGCTTTGGATTCTCTAGGATTAACATGGTTTGAGTGAAGTGCAGTATAGTATTAAATATTGTAGCACATTTATGTCTTGGACTAATAAGATTGTTAGGTGCCAGCGAGTTTGTTCTGACTTAAATAGTGACCGTCTATATGATGGCCTATCACACTGCCTGGCCCTGCACCATTCTCACAATGATGACAAAGTTGAAGGTCATGATGGTAGCCATTGTGTCAGTATATTTGACTGAGGGGCTTCCTCTTTTTCGCTGGTGCTCTGCTTTACCCAGATGGTATTTTTCTCCAAGGACGGGTAACTCCCCATAACATGTCTGAAGTACTTGAAATGCTAGTTTGATATTTAGAGATTTGTCAACTCACTCCTAAAGAGCATTTACAATGTACAAATTTGTTTATGTGTGAAATCCATTTCCAGGATTCGATATAACAATGAAACACAATTTCAGAATTTGGGTGTGTATAGAATGTATGTATTGTCAAATACCTTGGTTTCTATTGAATTATAATTCTATTGAATTATTGATCACTAGGATCACTTCTCCTATCATCTATGATGACAGCAGAGAAAATGTGATTCTATGTATGTAAAATAAAGTGACCAAATCACATATGGTTACATCATAATCAGCACATAGTTGGTGCACATGCATTGATTAAAAGAATGCACTTACTACAAGTAAATGAATTTATTAAAATAATAAGTATACATATATTCCCTTTTATCCAAATAAAAGCCTCAATTCACCTTTCCACTTTGTCTAGCTACAAATACACAACACACAATTTTAATCATTTGTTGACTTTTAGTACTCAAAAATAAAAAGTAGAGGGGCCGTGAAAAAGAGGGAGACCCTGGACAAGATGGACTGACACAATGGCTGCAACCATGGGCGGAAACACCGGCATGGTGGTGCGGATGGGGCAGGGTTGGGCGATGTTTCGTTGTGTTGGACAAAGGGTCACGTGAGTCAGAGCAGACGTGAGGACGCCTAACAGCAGCAGCACTAGCCACTAAGGAAGTTGTGCTAATCCTCCCTGGCCAGAACCCTGAAACACATGTTCATTTAAATAACTTCCTGAATTTGTTTTGCATAAAACAGGCTCTCCCTACCTATTCTGGGTAACAGTTCAGAGAAAATGAAAACAGATTTCTAAGGCCACAAAGGTAACCTCTGATACAACAGATTTTCTATGTCACTCATCTATTCAAATCTGTCACTGGTTCCTTTTTCAGAGATCTGCCAACTCCCTGAAAGGCAGATGTTTCCTGCCGTCTTCCATGTCTGAGCGCCTGTTTAATGCAGCCCTATGACACTGCCAATATCCTGCTTACCCCGGATGACCGCGTCACTGCCACAGCCGACTCGGCTCACTTCACTTTGAAAAATATCACATATGGGCTTAGTGAGCACAGGGGATGTTTTCTTCTTATCAAAACACTTTTGTGTGATTACAGAAATTCTTCTATGAATCTGTATGTGCTATTAAAAATGTAAACATGTGCTTGTGGTGATCATTCATTTTTAACAGAAGTTCATTTTAAACATAAAGTCTCATTCAAAACTACATTAATTATACCTGTTTCAATTCTATCTCTGATTATACTGAGTACATTAAATAACACTAATTCTGTCACAAAGCCTAGCCTGAGTTTTTTAAAACAGCCCAGACTATTCGAAACGTGGTGGTATTGTACATTTAAGAAATCTCTGCAACAAAACACTTATTTCATTGTAGGGGGTTGTTTTCTCTGTTTAAACTGCATTTGATTTGTGAGTTCGTAGAACTGAGACCACCTGCCAGTTTGATTCAGATTCATTGTGGCCCTATAATGCGGAGAAGAACTGCCCTGTTTTCCAAGGCAAGGATTTCTGAGGGTCTCATGCTTGTGAATGCGGGCTTGGAATCCAGGACGTTTCAGTTAGCAGTCTAGTCCTTAACAACTTCTATTGTGTTTAGTTTATGCTTTTCCCCCCCATGGCCAAACAATGACTAGCACAAAGAGGTAACTCAACAGATGCTACATAAGAATAAAAATGATGTTCGACATCAGGAAGTTTTTGAATAGACAGCTTAGCAAGACTTTGATTGCAGTGGAGAATAAAGGCCTGTTAGGTAGATTTAAGTTTCTTTGTCTGCCCCCAACACTCTCTATCTGCTTTAATATTGGACTAAATGGTCATTGCTAACTGTGTTGTCCATAGGAACTAAAATTTGTTAGGTTCTATGCCGTCCAAGACTCAAATCAAGTTCACTATCATCTTGTGTATTCGGACTCATAGTGACTCTATGGGACAGAATAGAACTGACCCGTGGGTTTTATAGATGGTAAATTTGTATGGGAGCTAGCAGCCCAACACTATGTTACCAAGGCTCCTACTAGGTTAAGATACTTTTCACAAACAAAATTAATCATTGAATATAGGAAATTAAAAGTGAATAAAATCTTGATGATTTAGTCACTGGCATCCTATAACTGACTTTTATTAAATGAAAAGAATTGGTGTAGTATTTTTGCTGAGATAATTATAATGTGGATAATTGTTTTTTTAAGCTCTTAATAAATACTCATATAGTATATTTTCATTATAAATTTAAGAAAATATTCTTGATTTATGCTATATTTTCCCCTCAAGTTATGTTTCAGAATATCACTCTTACTTCTGGATTGTCTGTCTGAGCAGTGTTTTCAGCTATTTAAATTTTGATAAGATAGCCCAAATCTTGAAATACAGTTATCTGCAATTTATAAACATGATTTCTTAAAGCACAGTAGACAAAGTGAATGGAAGAAAAGATGAAGTAAGAGCTGAACAGAAATTTTCAGAAGAAAGCTCAAGAAGGCAAAGAAAGCATTTTAATGTAAAGGGCAAAAACCTGGAGTAAGAAAACCAAAAGGGAAAACCATGTTCAGCGTATCTCAAGCTGATAGAACTTGAGGGGGGAAATCTAGTCTAATATTTCAACAGGGAAGGCGTCTATAGGTAAATCGTTGAATAGGCATAAAGCTTCAGAGGGAGAGAGAAGGCAGACACGGAGTCACTGTACCAAGATGACTTGGTTGCTATTCACCCATTTCAAAGTCAGTAGCATTCGATCAAGATTCAAGGTCCTAAAGGAATGAGTCCAAGCTTTACTGAAGGCATTAGCAAAAAATAGGCTCTAGGACTGATTGAATAACAACTGGTAAGATACAAGGTTGGATGCACTCAGTCATCGATGTCAAAATTTGGCAGAGATCTATCTGTGTCCTCAGTCCAAGGAAAGGCATCCCAACAGCATGGGGAAGGTATCAAACGACATCATGCACATCACAGGCAAGCCCAATGTTACCGAAGATCATTCTAGAATGGTTGCTGCAGCACAGCAACTGAGAGTTGCCGGAGATTCAAGCTGGAGCCTGAAGAGGATGTAGAACAAGGGAGATTGTGGCTGATGTCAGATGGGTTTGATTGAAAGCAGAATTTTATTTATTTTTTTGTGGGTTTATGATTGTCTTTGCTCCTCCTCTATTTTTGCGTCATTTTTAGCACTGTTTTCATTGTACTGGATTCCGGGTGGTGTTGACCTGTGTGCGGCTCTCAGGGTTGTCTGCCACTCTTGTGGAGTCTCTGTGCGTCTTTACAGTTCAGTGAGCAGTGACATCCCGTACTGTCAGGGCTCCTTTTTCAGCACCATTAGCCATTACTAAAATGCAAATTTATTGGAATGTCTAAAATGAAAACACTGATTATAGCTAATGCTGGTGAAGTTGGAGAAATAATAACTTTCACTGGCATGAATCACATTGTTACTGTCTCTCAATTCTTTTCACCTTTATGTATTTGTTTGTTTGTTTTTTAAATCAAATACTCTGTTTCTATCCTTTGCCTTGCTGATGTCTAAGGGGCGAGGTAGCAGACACATTTTGGCCTACAGAAATCCCCCCCAAACAGGTTCAGAATAGGCATACAGGACGCTTTATCATTAGCATTTGAGATCAAGTAACTACCTAATGAAGTCATAGATGTCATTAGAGATGGGACACTAATCATTGAAAATGTTATATTTCTTTTTCCAGATTAAATATAAGATCAGACTCATCTCTCAGCTTCAACTAGGTGACTGGTGTGAACTGTGTAGTCAACTGTATCCCAAAATGTAGGTTTTTTTACCCCCAGCTACTTTCCTTAGGAGGAACGCTGGCGGAGTGGCAGTAAATTCCAGGCTGCTAGTGGAAAGGCTGGTGATTTGGACCCACCATCCACCTCTCAGGCAAAAAGACCCAGCCATTGATTCCATGAGAGTACTGAGTTGAAAACCCTGCCCTGTGATGGGGCAGTTCCATTCTGTTGCTATGAGTTCAAATCAATTCAACAGCCATGGTTATTTTATTTTATATAATTTCTTAAAAATTCCTTTCACATCAGTTTCAAAAATGATTTTAGGTTATACTATCTTTGTCTTTTCAATGGCAATACTTTTGCATCAAGTGGAAAGCCTGCTTACATTTAACTTCTTCGGTAACAAATGCTTGTTGAGAAATTGGAATAATAATAGAAATAAGAAGTGAAGCGTGGCTTGTCATCATGGAGTTGGTACCTGAGCTTCTTCCTGTTGCTTCTTAAGCTGTTCAAGCATCTGCTGAAATTCAGCCTCTTTCTGCTCTGCCTCTTCCAACGTGGCCTGATTCTGTTCTTCATAGGCCATGGCCACCACGGCCAGGATCAAGTTTACCAGATAAAAAGAGCCCAAGAAGATGACCAGGACAAAAAATATCATGTATGTTTTCCCAGCAGCACGTAATGTCTAGGAAGGAAAAAAGGGGAAATGCAATCACTATTTTCATATAATGCCTCCCAAATAAAGATCTGCTTACCCTAATGAGATGACCAATGCTTTTTATGGATACTGCTGACAAAGATTTTTTTCCTTTTGTGTTCAAATGTATAACAATAATTTCATTATCTGAGGCATGACTACATTGTCATTGGATATAAAACACATGTATACAAGTTAGTATATATTGGATCTACATTGAGCCCCATTAAATTGTGTACCTTAGGGTCTGTGTTGCAACATCCTACTGCGAGTGAGAATCCTATGTCTGTCTTCTGTTTCTTTCCATGGAGTCTCATTCCCATGACAGCCTACTCTCTGCCTCATCTCGAGATGAATTTCCTGCCCCCCTTCTCTGGCCCCTGTTGACTATCGATTTAATTGAATAATATTGACATAATTGCTCTGGTCTTCTAGAGTTTTTGACAAGTTGCTCTTAGTGCCACAACCAGTCAATAGACTCCTCCCCGCCATGAACATTTTTGAGTCTGTCACCGTCCTTAGCAGAATACCTTTCATATATGAAGCTTCATATTTGCATATTTATTGACTGAATTTGCAACTGGAATCTTAGGAACACTCCGCGGACCCTCCTCTATCGCTCAAAGTGCTAGAAGCCTCCCCATCAAATGAAACTCAAACCCACTGCCATTAAGTCTGTTCGGACTCAAAGCAACCCTACAGGACAGGCTAGAACTGTCCCTGTGGATTTCTGCCACAGTAGTTTTTTATGAGATCTATCTCCCTTGCAGTGGCTGGTGGTTTTGAACTGCTGACCTTGCAATTAGCAGCCCAACATGTAACCACTCTCCACCAGGACTCCTAGAAGCATACCTGCAAGTTATCAATAAATATCCATATATATAATTTCACATATGATCATGAATTTGGGCCTTACCAACTGGTAAAGGTTTTCCCAGTAGTCTTGAGTCATGAGGCGGAACAGAGACAAGAAAGCCCAGCTAAAGGTGTCAAAGCTCGTGTAGCCGTAGTTAGGGTTTCTGCCAGCTTTCACGCAGACGTATCCTTCTGGACACTGGCTACAATTCAGAGAGAGAGGTAATGTGAGCATTGCCATTTCAGTCGATACTGATTTGTAGGAATCGTCAAAACTCGGAGCTGCAGCTCACCAGGGCATTCTCTGCCTTCGTTTCCAGAACACTTTAGGTGACTGCGTAGAGTGGAACTGCTATCAGAGGAGGTTCATGAGGAAAACCAGTAGAAAACAATGGTTGCAAAGTGTCAGGTTTATAGACATCTAGAATGGAAGAGAGGTTCTAACCCTTTAACACCCTCTATAACTCAATTTTTACAAAGTAGCCCATATTAATGATTAAAACTTAAAAGTCAGAAAACAGACAAAGGACAGGACACCATGGAGTCAGTGACTATATTAGCTATTTCTGGAGGATTGTTTGAAGAAAATGTTTGAGAATAGTTTTAGATTTATGGAAAAATTAGGAAGATAGTACCGTGTTCTCATATGCCCCATGTCGACTGTCTCTTATCATTACCTTACAATCATATATTGTTTAATTAGTTTAAATATCATTTAGTCTATTCTGACTCACAGGGACCCTATATCAATATTGATACATTATTAACTGAAAAAAGCAAACAAACCATTGTTGCTGAGTCATTTATGACTCATGGGAATGCCATATGTGCCTGAGCAGACCTGGCTCCACAAGGTTTCAGTGACTGCGGTTTCAGACGGAGAGCCAGCCTTTTGTGCCAAAATGCCTCTTTGTGGACTTGAACGGCTCACTTCCCACTTCGTAGCTTGGCACATTCACTGCTTGCCCCACCCAGAGACACCAATGAAAAACTAAGACCCATCCTTTATTTAGATTTCCTCAGTGAGTCCTAGTACTGTTTTATGTACCACCTAGGACGCCACATTGTAGTTCCCTGTCTCTGTAGGCTCTTTTCGGTTGCGGCCATTTCTTAGATGTTCTTTATTGTCTATGGCCTTGGCAGTTGTGAAAAGTACTGTTCATGTATTTTGTAGAAATCCTTCCCCTAAGAATTTATCTATTATTTTTCTCATGATCGGTTAGGGCTATGGGTTTGTAGGAGGAGGTAAAGTGTCATTTTCACTACATCGTAGACTATCAATGTGACTCATCTCTGTGGATGGTAACCTTGATCACTTGGTTTGAAATCCTGTCAGGTTTCTCCATTGCACAATTCCTCTTCTAACCTCCTCTCCTTGTTCGGACTGTCCTCTTGGAGAGAAAGTCATCAACAGTGGGCCACATTTAAGGGATTGGGTGATAAGATTCATTACCTAATGATAGAGTATCTGTATAAATTAGTTGAATTTTTATTCTTTTTTGCACAAGAAATTAGTCTATTCCTTATTTATTAATTGATGTATTTATATTCAATCATTTTATTTATGACAATGTGCATTTGGGCATATTTATTCTACACTTTGGATTATGATCCAAAGATTATTTATTTTATTGCTCAAATGGTCCCAGTTTTGATCCTTGGGAGCGTTTTCAGTTTGCTGTTGTGTCCCTTGGAAATAACTATGGTTGTGGGTTTGTTTCCTCTTCTTACAGCACGTTCTAATCCACCACTACCCAAAGGTAGAGCCTTCCCAGAAACCTTGTGTACGTTAAAATGGTATAAAGTAAAGAAGCAATTACTATTAATTTGTATGGCAAAAATTTGTGGGCATCCCTCCCCCCCAAATAACTTATTAAATCCTAGTAAATAGCCCATAAAATCTAAAATAGCACTAACAGCTCTTGGGGCTCGATGCCACCATGCTTAGCATACTTCCTGGAGACTGAGCTCAGCAGCATACTCTCACCATTCACGGTGAGTGCTGCCTCTTACGATGGCTGCAGAGCGAAAACGGACCAATAGCTTGCTGTGAACCTTTGTTTGTTTTCATAAAAGCAAAAGTTCCCTTTGGATTGCTTTTGGCGAAAACGGTGCCAGTAGATATTTGGATAGACGTGAGAGCTGAACAAGTGTGGGAGGAAGAGTGGGCATATAGTCATGGAGACATACCGAGAGCTTTTCCAGAGGATATTTGTATCTGTGTATTTACAATACACGCATGGATGTGGTGGAGCATCCGGGGGGCAAAGTTATGAAAGCTTAGGAATAATCCATCACCTGGAAGGACTGAGCCGCTGGGCCTGGGAGTTTAGAATCATGGTCTCAGAGGATTCCAAGCTCCATTAGCATAACATGGTTCATGAAAACAGTGTTCCACATCCTAATTTGGGGAGTAGGATCTGAGGTTTTGAAAGCTCATAAGTAGCCATCTAAGGTGCAAGTATTTATTATTTTCTCCCAATCCAGAAGAAAGAGGGGTGATAAAAATCAAAAGATATGTAGAAACAATTAGTGCAGTAGACTCATGGTTCACAGAAACATCTGTCTCCACAGCCACGAGACCAGTACTACCCCTGATGTGTCAAGGATCACAGTAGAACAGCAGTTCTCAATCTGTGGGTCGCAACCCCTTTGGCGGTTGAGATAGTTAAAGTTTATTGTGCCAACCTGGCCAATAAACACATGTGGGATTAATTGAAGGGCAGAGAGATAAATGGCTCAGTGAGTCTTGCCTTTTGAGTTCTTGGGCCTCTTGCTTTTTGATGGTTGGACCAGGGTGCAGCTGCCTTAGCCAGTTAACTGCTTTTGCTTCCAAGGCTCACTTCCTGCAAGACATCCCTGAGCAGAAGCCACATGGACCTACCCCGATGCAGCCCTGGGTGCTGGAGCAGCCGTGTGGAGACCCCTGCCAGTGCTGAGATGCTTACACGCTCACCGATTTGGCTTTCCTCCTACAGTTGGCATCATAGTGTGTGTTTTGTGAGATGGAGGAGGACTTTGTAGATTGGTGTCGGACATATGGGTTAATGTTGGACTTATGGGCTTGGGCAGCACTGGGTTGGGATGTTTTCTTGATGTGCACTTACTCTTTATATAAAACTCTGTCTTATACATATGAGTTTAAAGTACCCAGACTAACACAGGGGTCAAACGACCCTTTCACAAGGGTCGCCTGATTCATAACAGTAGCAAAATGAGAGTTATGAAGTAGCAACACAGATAATTTTACAGTTGGGGGGGGGGATCACCACAACATATGGAACTGTATTAAAGTGTCGCAGCACTAGGAAGGTTGAGAACCACTGCCGTAGAAGGAGCAAGATAGAGTGTGGAAACACACTGAACTCCAAATCATAAAGAGAGATGAAGCTTACTAGTCTGAGAGAGACTGGTGGAACCCCCGAGGCACCCTCAGGTCTAGAACTGAACTCAGCTCCACATTAGAACAATAAACGATTTAAGATCAAAAGGACAGCATTTGCTGAATGACAAAGTTTAGAAGCTAAAAAGGAGTGACAGAAACAAGAAACATAAGGAGGAAGTTGGATAAGTGAGGGTCCATTGAGGCTCCTGCAATGTATGAGTGGAAACAAAATGCGTATGAATAGTTGAGGGTAAAATTGATGATCTGCTCTATGCACCTTCATCTAATTCAGGGGAAAATTTTAAATACACCAACCCAGAATACTTCTTAAACCCAAACCATAATTTAACTTAGCTAATAAAGAAAATCTGCTTGAGTATTGTGTTCTTTTAACATATATCTGTGTGAAATCAAATTGACTTTAGCAACTTGAAAGATGAGATAGGAAATTTAGGGGGCAGTGAATTTTTATGGGAAAGGAGCAACTCAGAAAATAGAACAAGAATTTTTCCACAACTTAATATAAATAATGTCATGGAGTTGTATACATACAAACAGTTGAAGTGGTGTATGTTTTCTGTGTATATTCTCTGTGTATATTTCTGTGTATACTCTCTGTGTATATTCCCAATAATATTTTTGTGGGTTTTTGGGAAGTAATAGAGTAAAAAATGTACAGAAAACTCCAAAGCAGTTTCCCCTTAGTTCTTGCATCTTGGCGAGCATGCTCTATCCTAGATCCTTTCCAACCACAACAGAAGTCAACGCAAAGTCATCTCAATCAGAATGGGACCGTCTGTGCTCCTGCCCTGCATTTCCCAAGCGCATGTGTTTCCACAAGAGACAGATGTGGACCGTAACTCTTTGGAGGGATATTTTAGGAATGTCATACCTGTGAAATTCCGGAGGAATGTCAAAGGGATAATTTCAATTCAGCCCAACAAGCCAAAGAAGGGACTTTCCTTGTTAGATATCTGTTAGGGATCTAACACAGATGTAAGACTACGTTTGTTCATTTTTCACTACCTACCTTTTTGCAAATGGTTATATATATATAAACAACAAAGTCGTTTCCTTACCCTGCATCTGAACCATTCCCACAGAGTAAAGGGTCTTTTTGGCCATCCAAAACGTAAAAGTGACCTATTAATAGAAAGAAAAGAAAGGATTTCATTTCCTATCAATTCTAGGCACAATAGGATAAGTGTGTTTCCCTGTCTCATTTATTTAAAAAGTCATCAATGAAAGGCATTTACAACGATAGCCTTAAGCCAGTAGTCACAGCTATCTATAGTGAGAACGTGTTTAGCAACATAAAGGTTAACAAAACATAGCAATGCATCTTACTGTCGTCATCAATGTAATCCTTCCAGTTAAATTTTCTCTCGGTTAGATTAACAGATGTCCCATTTGAATCCCTTGTGCCATTAAAGTAGGCCGTGATGTTGGTTTCAAAAGCAGAATCGCTTGGGGGCCACTGCAAGCACTTATTCCTCAGGTTGCCCATGAACAGCTGTAGTCCAATTAGAGCAAAGACACTCAGACAGAACACAGTCAGGATCATGACGTCAGAGAGCTTCTTCACGGACTGGATCAGGGCCCCCACGATGGTCTTTAAGCCTGAGTACAGAATGAAAGGTCATCTTCGAAAGTCTGCCATAAACACAATACACTTTTACAAAACACATTCCTTTTCCTCTCCTCCTCCCCCCAAAGATTGCTCAGACTATTTAGACATCAGTTTTATGGGCAGGCTCATAGCTTGGAAAAATGGATGAAGAATAGGTTTTATTTACGAACATCATGCTTCCTGGAGAGTCAATATGAATGTTTAAATGTCTAGGCAGGATTTTTTTTTGGGGGGGTTGCTTTTATGTACTACCACAAAATGTGAAAAAGTTAGTTATTTTTCACTTCTTATTTTGTATTTTATTAGGACATTTCCCACCAACTTATTTTTTTATATTGGCTGATACACAGCCGTGTATACATTTTAGATAATAAAAATTCCATGCCACTTGCATGTTTTTCAATAATAATTGCCCGCCTTTAGAGGCGATCCATTTTCAAAATAGATTTACAGTGAGTTATAGAATCCAAATGAATTCGCAAAGCCCTCATAATAAATCATTTTCTCAATGCAAAAAAGAAAAAAAAACTAGATCAGAAATGCAAAACAGAAAGCAAACCCACCCAAAAGAGCAAAACTAGTATTTTTATGAATGTGACATGAAATTGTCTCAAACTCAATGGCTGATTTATAAATAAGTTTGTCATGTCTAAATTTTTAGGAACTCAACTGGCATTGAAATATCCCTTTGTGTTTTGGAGTTTGACTAACTAGAATACTAAGCAATAGATCTGATGATATAAGTGTGACTTAAGCCTCAATTTTCTTACAATCCCAAATTGTAAGACGCCTATTGCCAAGTTGAATCTGACTCACAGTGATGTACAGGAGAGAGTGGAATTGCTCCCTGGGCTGTCTCAGGCTGTCAATCCCGAGCGAAGCAGATTGCTTTATCTTTCTCCTGTCAAGGGGCTCAAACTGCCAGCCTTTGGCTAGCAGGCCCATGCTTAACCCACGGTGCCCCAACGATCCTTCCAGATGATGGCATTTAAACTCAATCTCAATGTGTTGCCTCGCTCTCACCTGGAATGACGGAGATGGTTTTCAGTGCTCGGAGAACTCTGAATGTTCTTAATGCGGAGACATTGCCCAGGTCTACAAACTCTGTCACATATCTGTAGTCGGGGGAATCCGGACACAAACACAAGAACACAAAAGAAAAATTGGAGATATAAGGGGTCTACCAACTTACACCCGATACTTCTTACCTGGAATTACACAAAAAGTTTTCAGAGCCCCCGAGACTCTGAAAGTTCAAAGAGCAGAAACATTGCCTAGGTTTACACATTCTGTTACAGACCTGCAGGATTAAGTCAGAGTTCTGATAGTTCTGGCAAGGTTGGTGCTACATAAAGAATGAATGCTGGTTTGGCATATCGGGGACCAGGAGTTTAACAAACAGATTAAAATAGACGCCAGGGGGCTGCGCAGGCTGCACACAGATGTTCTGATGGACTTACATTTTGTTGCTGTAATTTCCACTCATAGGAACAGGTTTGTTTGTAAAACCAATAATAGTACAGTTGGAAGCTATTAAATTATAGTCAATGAATAACTTCATTTTGATGAGGAGATAGTAATTCCAGGAATCGTTTATTTCCCAGATGTGTTTACCTTGCAATAGGTATTCTTATTTGTAGTCTCAAAGTTTATGAGGCGTGTAGTTTATGAGCTAACACAAAAACTCCACAGTTCAAGTGTGCTCATCAGAACCGTTTCCCCCGGGGAGTAGCCCTCCCATTTTCAAACCACTCACGCCATCACGATGACACTGAAATCCAGCCAGTTCCATGGATCGCGAAGGAAGGTAAAGTTTTCCAGACAAAACCCTCTTGCCAAGATTTTTATAAGCGACTCAAAGGTATAGATTCCAGTGAACGTATACCTAGGAAAAGTGTTCAAGCAAAAGTTACTAATCATATTTGAATTATTAGAGTCATTTACAAATACAGACAAGCCTATCCTTTTGCAATTTTTCAGTTCACTACAATCTGGCTCTGTACTTGCATTCACCACATAATCTTCTAGTTTAATTCATTTTACAAACCTGAGTAAATGGTTAAATTAAACTGATAACTTAGTTTGATGATGAAAACAAAGTAATCTAGATTTTTAAAACTATTACATTTTATCTTGTATTTTAAGAATATCATCAAGCCTCAGCCCTTTGTATCAAGGATGGCTGATAGAAATAGAATGCAAGACGTATATGTAGTTTTAAAAGTTCTCAAAGACCGTAATGAAAGTAAGAAGTTAATCTTAATGCTATACTTTAAGTGAACCAATTTATTAAACTTTTTTTATTTCAACCACTTAGACTAGTGACTACTTGCGACAGCAAAGCTTGAGAGATTTTTTTGGATGCATTTATTGAAATGAAATACTTCTACTTTGTCAATGATTAGTTTTATTCTCAGGAATATGTTACATGTTTTGTCTAGAAAATCCACTTCTTAGTTTTCTTTTTAAGATTCACACATAGTTAATAAAGTCAGAAAGATAGACCTGTTTGTCTAGTCCTATTTCTACATATAATCACAAGAACTATTTTCGTTCTCTAGGATTTTATACTGCTCTAAGGGAGCAGGGGAGCCTTCTGCTCCCATTAGCCCCGACAGCCTCAGACGCTCACCGGAGCACCTCTCCCCGTCCTGTAGGGTCACTGTTAGTCGGCGTCAACCTGATGGCAGTGAGTTTGTGAGCATTCTCTATGTGTAACTCTACAATTGTCAAAATTCGTGAATAAAACAGAATCCCTGAACGTTACATTGCAGTAGTTACTAACAAATTCTGTGCAATGGGACCCATCATTTAACCTTGCTAAAATTCACACTTCTCTCTCCAAGACGGTGGAAGACTTTTTTCTGTCTGATGTTGATATAGTACATTGCTAACTTTCTTTTCCTCAAGGGTTGACAATCAGGGGTCCTCAAACTGTGGCCCGCGGGCCTCATGAGGCCCGCCGAGGATATTTATCCAGGCTGCTGGGTGTTTCTGCCCCATTTTGTTTACTTCAAAATAAGATATGTGCAGTATGCATAGGAATTTGTTCATAGTTTTTTTTTAAACTATAGTCCAGCTCTCCAATGGGTCTGAGGGACAGTGAACTGGCCCCTGTTTAAAAAGTTTGAGGACCCCTGAATCATTTCTAGTTCTGCTTCTTCCAGAAATAGTTGAGAGTGTTTTGTTGTTTTTCCCCCAATATTGGGTTCTTTTCAAAATTACAATTTAAATTTAGTCTTCAGAGTACTTCAGCAAGCCACAAAGATTTGATCCTCTCTTATTAAAATTCATTTCTTTTCTAACCTCCTAGCAAATTACTTATGAAGGAGTAAGGGTAGTATGCATTTTATGCATGTACCACCTCATTTGTTTGCTTACAAAAATCTGTATTAAAAAGTTTTTACTTCAGGCATATATTTAGCATAGCCTTTTCAAGGTTTACATTTCATGTCATTGCACGTGTTATTTTTTATGATAAATAATACCTTTGGGTTTGGGGCTATTAGGTGTCATGAGTATATTGTGCTTGCTGCCATCGAGTTATTTCTGACTCATAGCAACCCAATCGGACCGAGTAGCACTGGCCCTTTGGGTTTCAGTGATTGTAACTCTTTAAGGGAAACTCGTCCTTCGAATGCCAAGCAGCTGGTGGTTTTGAACTGCTGACCTAGCAGTTAGTAGACCCATACATAACCCAATCTACCACCCGGCATTTTCCAGTATTCCATTGATTCTCATTTGAATTTGGATATGTTACTGGTAGACCCCAGTTGCTAGAATATTGGGGATCTCAGAGATAAAGAAAGGAGACAGGGATGGAGATGACTTCGAGGGGCTCAGGGTCCATGGGTCCCGTAAGGCTACTTGGGATCCAGAGTGTGGCCTGAAGACAGTCCGCAGGACATGGGATGTTAGCCACGCTGCACAAGGAGGAGCTCAGTAGACTTTGCCAGCAAAGTGGGATTGTGGTGTAGTAAACATGACAACCACGCTGTTTCTACTTGAGGAGAGAGTTGGTACCATGAAAGTGCATAAGAGACATCATGTATGTATATGCTGCTTACCACAGGAATGGCTCGTGCCCTGTGGTCTGTGATGAGGTCATTTGAAGTCATCTCTAGATATACTGAGGAGCCCTAGTGGTGTAGTAGTTATGCACTGGGCCGCTGACTGCAAGGTCAGCGGTTAGAAACCCCTAGCTGCTCTGAGGAAGAGACAGGGCTTTCTGCTCTGTAGAGAGTTACGGTCACTGAAACTCACAGGAGCAATCCCACCCTGTTCTAGAAGATCGTTATGAGTGGGCATTGACTCGATGGCAATGAGCTTGGTTTTGGATATAGAGTCACTGAGGAGCCCTGGTGACATAGTAGTTATGTGTTGAGCTGTTCACCACAAGGTCAGTAGTTCAAAACCACCAGCAACTCTGCGGGAGAAGGATGGAGTTGTCTGCTTCCCTAAAGGGTTAATGTCTTGGAAACCCACAAGGCAGTCCTGTCCTATCTTACTGAGTCACTATGAGTTGGGATCGATTTGATGACAGTAAGTTTGGTTGGCTTTGATAGAGTTACTGTAAGACGACAGTCCCTACTCTTATTATTGTTTTTGGAAAAGTGAATTTATGGGGCATTTGAAGTATACGGTGAGCACTGAGAGTTCCAGGGAAGGAAATCTTAGAGTTTAACATTTGAGATAGAGTCTGCAGAGAGTAGGGGTGCGAAAGTTCCTGTTACCAAACAAGATTGAACACATAAGTGGGTCTCAGGGGACCTTGATCTTTCAGGGCTCTTTCCCAACTCAGCTCCTAATCTTGCTGTGGATTTTATCATCTCAGATTTTAAAAAAAAATTTCTCCCTGTACTTATTCTATCTATAAGAGTATCTTTCCTTATATAATACTACCCTCACAATATTTCATGTTGTTGGGTATGCCTTTGTACAGGCCTATTCTTGTATTACCAATAACTTCTGTTTTTATCTCAGAACTTCTTTATATTTTTCTTTCCTTTGGAATTTTTTTTAGCAGTAACAGCTAACATGTTATATGTTTCTGCTACCTTGCTGTTAAGTGGCTAGACATGATAAGGAAACCTTTGTAATGTTTTCCTACTGCAAAAGTCAAGTTGAAAATGTTTATAAGGCTAAGAATATTTTCATGTGAGGGTAATCACAACTGTATCTCTAAGCTGGTATGATTACTTTAAAAAAGAGAGTCTTACAAATTCAATTGGATCCTTTATCTCTTAATGATGTTATACAAGTAAGTGATATTTATATATGCTTAAATATTTTTATGATTCCAGTTGGAAAAAGCCAACAGAACATACTTTATATAAATATGTCTATTCATTAAATTTCAAATCATAATTAAGACCTTGCCTCAGTATGAAAACTGGATTTTCTGTCATAATTTTGAGGGTACTTTTCCAAGCTATTAAAAATTATGTAACCAATCAAATCACTGACAAAAGTGACCTAGAATAAATTATCATAAAAACATAAAAAAACAATTGGAAATAAAAACTGATCATTTATGTCATGATAATCTTATCTTCTATAGGACACTAGTGATTTTTTTTATTCTGACAATAAAAACAAACACCTTGTCATTATATTATACATATTTAGCCTCTAGCCTAAACATATTCTGTTGTATACTATAGCATGATTCCTTGGCATGAATAACTTCATATGTTTATATACATAACCTCACATATGGCTGACAAATAAAAGAATAATGTTGCTGTTATTCAGAAATACGTATGGGCAGACACTTGTACCCAGCATACTGATGTTACCAAGCTATCAGGAAAAGTTTTCTCACATGTAAAGAAAAAAACTTAGCAATTAAAAATCATAAACAACCATATTACTAATACTGAAAACCATTAGAATGCCTTCTTCTAATTCAAGCAAGGTCTGGTTTAGTGTTCTCAAGAACTACTGCTCTTAAAACCTTTCTCCTTGTCTGAAATATTGAATAAAATGTTTTATTTTGATGCAGAGCTTCAAACCAGTTTTTCCTATTCATCACTGACTGATGAAGTGAATCTAGAAAGGACCTGAATTGGTAAACTGTGTGTATGGGCACAATAGTCAGAACGGGGATTTGTGGGTTGACACCCTGCTGGAAACATAATCTCCCTCTTAGAAGACAAAGGCAGCAGGTGAAATGGCAGCAATTAAGCCACTTGACCGGCTGAGTGGGGCAAGCCATGTGGAGCTCAAAGATGCCAGCTTGACCTCTCTGCGGTGAATATGTGTTGCTCTCCACCGTCCTGGCAAACGTCCATTCTCCAGATTCAGGCTTCTGAAAGAGCTGACGAGGCCACTCTAAAGGTGCTGGTTTTCAGGACTTCAACTTGTAATGTTTCCCCTCCCGGTCATCATTCCTCTGCACCCAAATTTTTAAAATTAAAAATTGTTCTGATGTGACTTTGGTGGATATGACTGGAGTTGATTTGAACCACTTTGAAGCCAGTTATGATGCTCTTGTACAGAGGCCACCAGGGCCTTCATCATTAAGCAGGAAGGGTGCAAGGCAAATGTAAGGCAGAAAAGCCCGGTGGCCAGTGTTTGGTGCCATGGAGCTCCAGTGACGTCCTGCACCAATAGCCTTGCCCTGAACGTCTTCTCGGTCATAATTTCAAAGGGAGCTGATCTTTCTGCCTTTCTGCCGCAGAGACTAGCTGTGAATTTTACAGGATCAGTGTATTTTTTTATGCGGTTTGTAATTGTTTTGATCTGTTTATAAAACTTTTTCAGTGTTGAGTGATTTACCCTTAATTATTCTTCTCCATAAGGCTCATTTCTTTTCATCAAAGTTTTGCAAAGGAGATTTTATTTCCTTCGCAGAACACACCTGGAAAACTTATTTAAATATAACTGAAACATCTAATAAACTGAAATTAACAAATGTGTTTTCAGTAATGTAACAAATCATACAACCAACATGCCTAGTATAATAATATAGAGATAACTACCTAAATAGATTTTTATCAGATGCAAAATTCTAATAAATTCTAATAAAATTATAATTGCATTATTATTCTAATAAAATAATATATATTCTAATAAAATAATAATTTCTGTATTCTAATAAAATAATAATTTCATCCATTTACTCAAATACACATTGTCTTTTATTCAACATACATAGTTGTGGTTGATTCCTAATGTGTGGGCTACATAATAGGTTTTGTTTACCAGCTTTCTTATACAGATAGTATCATGGACTCTCTTGGAAAACATACTCCATTGCAGAAAGCTTCCCCAAAGAACGTCCCTTATCTTCTTTCACATTATGGAAAAAGCATTCTCTTAGACAAAAGTGTTTAGTCTGACTTCCCAGAGTGGGACCCGTAAGTCGGACTAGCGTCTGAAGAAGACTGCTAGCGAGCATTTGAGTGAGCGCCTCTGCATCCCAGAAGCCACCCTACTTACTCTACATTCTTCGTCCAGTCAGGAGGGTTGCTCAAGGTCATAAATACACAGTTGGTCAGAATAGTGCACATGATCAGCATGCTGAATAAAGTAGATTGCAGTTAAGGAATAAATGCTAGTACATTATTAGGGTTATTACAATATAAAAAAAGTATTCGTTATAATGAATTAACTGAAATTAGTTTTACTTATTTTAAAACAATGGTAAGCATAATAGGAAACTTTAAAGTTGGCCATATATTCTTGGTCCACTCTGTTTCTTTCCATTTTACTTAGTTGCCTCACAAGACTCACTGTAATTGAGAAAGAGCTCTATTTGAGGCCAATGGGTGTTATTTTGCATG